CACGGCGCACGGCCAGGCAGCTCCGGGAGTGGGGGTTTTCACCAGGCTGCCTGCCTCAAGGACTGAGCTTTTACACACCAGCTTCCTTCTCTCATTATAGAGCTGCTTCATCAGGACCCTCAACTTCAGCCATGAGGTTTTGCTTCTTTCAACTGGAAAACTCCACATAGAAATAAAAAAGCACATCTGAACACTTCATACCCATTAAGACGGCTGTTACCATAAAAACAAAAAATAACAGGTATCGGTGAGGATGTGGAAGAACTCAAACCCTCATACCTCACTGGTGGGAATGAAAAACGGTACAGCTAGGAAAGAGTTTGGCTGTTCCTCAAAAATCAATCACAGAATTACCAAATGATCCATCAACTTCCCTACTAGATGTATTCCCAAGAGGGTGGAAAGCAGGGGCTGGAACAGATACTTGTAACCTGTGTTCACTGCAGCACCACTCATAATAGCCGAAAGGGAGAGGCAACAGAGACATCCACACTGATGGATGAAGAGACAAACGCCACGTGGTATGTATGCAAAACGGACCATCATTCGGCCTTGAAAGGGAAGGAAATTCTGACACATAAATGACCCTCCATCTCCCAAAGCCCAGGGCTGGCGCACTCACCCTCCCTGCGGGCCGGACCCTGACAGAGAAAGAAACCGTGTTTCTACAGGGGCGAAGGAATGGATGGTTTAGAAATTTGATTCATGATGGATACTTTTGCCCCAACTCTTGTGATGGGTAATCCACCGATGAATTCCGGAGCAGCCAATCTAATCCACTTATTACAGATGCCCTAAATCAATCAGCCTTCTGAACACCTGCATGGGATGGACTTAAGGGGACCTGACCAGTTACCCAGTAATTACTGGCACCAGCGAACCCTACAATGGCCATGCACAGAAACTGAACCACCTGGTTCTAGTCATTCTCTGGAAATTAACAAAATGGCATTTTAGGAGTCACTTTTATAGTTTGCTAGAGGCTGGGCAGCAAAATAAATATCTCCTGTTCCCTTTAGTACAGGGGACGTATATGTAGAACTTAAAATAATATCTCCCCCTTACAAAACTAGTATTGCTGTGTGGGTAATACCTCCCAAGGCAGGCATTATTAGTGTCTGCCAGCAGATGAGGTCACTGAGGCTCAGAGAGGTTAAGTAATTTGCACAGGATCACACAGCTGGGAGCAAGTCAAACTAGAATTCTTATTCATGTCTATTCATGCCAACCTCCGTGCCTTTTCAGCTCACCGTGCTGGCTCTCAAAGAGCTAATCTGAGTGCCTGCTACATTACTATGACAGAATTTAGAGAGATGGGACATGATGGGGGCCCTTGAGGAATTCAGAGAAGAAATAAATAAGAATTAAAGTCCAGGTGGCACCCATTTTCGGGGGGGGAGGGGCTGTAGCAGCCTAGAGGACCACTCATGACCCTCTGTACAAAGCCCCTCCCACTCTGGCCTAAGACTCCAACTGCAACTGGGCAGAAAAAATGGACTTAAAAATAGTTTCTTTACGTCCACTAGGGGTTTGTCCCTTCCAGAGAGCCAAGGCCCTAATGAAAAGCTTCCAGCATCTCTGACTGGTTGACTTTTGCAATGGCTCCTTGCCTATTTTCTTGGCTATTATTCAGCCATCATCATTCATGCAGTTACTTTTCCGATTTCCCCTTGCAAACTTACAAACTGTGTGAATCCTGTTAATTCCGGGTTCAAAGAACTCTCTGACTAAGGAAGGCTCCCAAAGCTCATCTCGTTCTATGCCCGCCCCCACCAAGGAGGACCAAAGCTCTTTGAAAGCTGAAAGTGTCACAGTGTTACCAAAAAACACAACGCCTTAGAAATACATGGTACTCTGCAATTTACAATGCATTTTTCTTTATCCTTGCCACAACCTTGTAAGATGTGATTACCCTCATTTTACAAATGAGAAAATCGGGGCTCAGAGAGTCAGTGTGCCTCCCTCAAAGTCACACAGTTAGTGTAAAGCAGAGTGGGAACTTGACCTGGGTCTCCTGACTTCACAGGCCAGCGCTTTCCCCACTAGACAAATCATCAGAATCATTGTCACCATTTTTGAGAAGAGGGAATAGTTACGCAGAGTGGGGGATGCTTTCTTAAAACTCTCCAATCCAAGCAAACGCATCTTATTCTCCTTACTGTCCTGGGACCTCATCTTCCAAACTACTAGCCTCCTTCCATCTGCAAAGTCACCCTCCTGACCCTTCTGCTGCCCTGGCTGCAGAGGGGGTGTCCCTGGCAGGCTGGCACAAGGCAGGCAGCCCCTGGCCTGACTTTTTCCTCTCCTCCGTTCTACTTCCCAGGCTCCCAAAATGGAACACAACTGGAGTTTAATCTCTCTTTACTCTTCTGCCAACTTGCCCGAGCTCCCCCAGATGCCTCCTCACTTTAAGCAAATGCTTTTGCATTGCTCAGGGAAGAATCTAATCCTTCCCTTCCCTTTACATGTTAATGCTCTGATTTACAGCAGCAGGTTAGACGGGAAAAAATTCATCAGCAAACAAAGAAGTTCCTTCTGCTTTATATTTTGAGGGGAGGGGGCCGAGGGGGACTTCTGGGGTGCTGGCAATGTTCTATTTCTGGATCCGGGGGCTGCTTACGCAGGTGTGCTTACTTGGAACACGTTCACTAAGCTGTGCACGTATGATTTATGTGGTCGTCTTCTCTAGGTAATGCTAGACTTCAGTGGAAAATGCCAACAATGGAACAGGCAGGTCTGACTAGGCGACGGCTGAATGACTGGCAAGCCTGCCATGGAGGGAGTCCCTACACCAGAAAAGAAGCTATACGGGGTTCTTCAAGCGGGCTTTGAACTCTGAGAGCACACGCCTGTAGGATGCTTTAGGGCGAACAGTTTCACAGCAACCGCAAGAAAGGGCTGTTCACAAAACTACAGCTGCAAAAGAACGGGGACCTCAGAAGCCCAGCCTGTCTCTTTGGACAGCCATCTCTTCAACCTCGCAGGACATTTCAGGAGACCTGGTCCCTAAATCCAGGAAGGGACACTGAACGAGCCCCTAGGTTTACCCTACCACCTGTGTTGGCCACGATTTCATTTTAAGATTCAGGAGTCCAATCTGAGGTTGAATTCTGCTTCCTAAACACATCAAGGATCTTGCAGTTCATTGATACCTGCCTTCCATCTTTTCAGAAGGTTACTTTCACAGAGGGCTGTAAATAGATAATGAATAATAATTAACTGACACACCCATCCCTGGAGCCGTCCATGTGTTTGAAGTGACTCACTCTGGACAGACCACATACTCTTAATCTCCAGGTGTGTGAGTTTATCCTTATTCCCAAACACTCTTGCCTTCTTTATCAAGAAAAAAAAGCCTACCTGTCTTTCAGGGCGTAGCTTAACGGCCCCGTCCTCCGGGAAGCATTTCCTGCCTGCCCCCGGTGGAGCAAGTGGCCCCTGCTCTGGGGTCTAAAGCATTCTGTGCTCGCATCTCACAGAATTTGGCACTTCGCAGCGCAACAGGTGCTTTGCAATAGGCTTTTCCTGGGCAGGCCTGGCTTCTTATTTCCATTTTAATCCCCAAGGCCTGGCCCGGTGTCTGTTACATCAAAAGCACGTCTGATGAAGGTACCCTGTAAATGATCTAGGTATCTCATGCATTTATAAAATAAATCAGTACATAAAATAATTAAATCTCTTCTCTGAATGATTATTTATTACAGCTCTATCTGTAATAGACCAAAACTGGAAACAACCAAGATGTCTCTCCATGGTTGGGGTAGACGGTTAAGCAAACGGCGGTACATTCACACCATGAAACACGACTTGTCGATAATAAGGAACAAGCCACTGATTCACGCAGCAACTTGGATATGATCTCAAGGGCACTGCGCTGAGTGGAAAAAGTTAACCTCAAAGGCCACTTATTTATGACTCCATTTATATCAAATTAGAAAACTACAGACATAGAGAACAGATTAGCAGTTGCTAGAGGTTAGGGATTGTGGGAAGACGGGAGGTGGGTGTGAGTATAAGATGGTGGCTGGAGGGAGATCTTGGCTGGAAGAAAATAGTTTTGTGTCCTGATTGCCCTGGGAGTCACACATCTCCACGCATCTTAACAGATTTGATATTTTCATATCCTGGTTTTCAGACTGTACTGTAATAATGTCAGCTGTAACCACTGGAGAACACTGGGTTAGAGGTCCATGGTACCTCTCTGTATTACCTTTGTGACTTTCTGCGAATCTATAATCACTTCAAAATAAAAAGTTATAATGTTTTAAACCTATCCTCCGAGGTTCTTTCTACTGAGCCTATCTATACTTTACAACATTTCATATTTTTTAATACTTTACAGTTTCAAGACACTTACATATCAATTAAATTATATCATTTCAAAATGATGCAAATCCATGACATAGCTGTGCTGTCCTTAAGCCCATTTTACAGATAAGAAAACCAAGGCTCAGGGCTTGCTCAAGGGCACACAGTGTGCATGTGGTAAAGCTAGTGCTCCAACCTGACTCAATTAACAATTTCTATAGACCTGTTTATTTAGCTGCAAAATAAGAGGATGTGGCAAAAATGGCCCCTGGAGGCGCATCCAGGTTTAACTCCATACTCCTTGTACGTCGGCTACACGGACTAGTTGTGTTCCAGTTTCCCTACTTCTAGCCAGCCACCTCAGGGGTCTGGCCATTAGAGGCCGGACTGCAGGCCAGTAACTGGACCTATAGGGGAGACTTATCCATCACAGGGACCAGCATGTAGCTGGTAGCATCTGAACCGAGGCATTAGACTCCCCAGATCCCCATTCTCTCAAGACTAAGCATCGTTGGAATGAAACTCCCAGTGGCTCTTGGGTTTCTCGGACACACTGCCTCTCTGGCTGGCTTCTGCTCCTCTGTTTCCATTTCCCCTACTCCCCATCTCCTGGGCTTCATTCCGTCACACCCCACTGACCCTAATTAATGATCCTCTCTATGCCAAGGAGGTGAGCTGTGAAAATGTCTTACCAGATTAGTGAAGATGTATGTGTAATAGGCTGACACCATCCCTAGTTCTGCCGCCTGCAAAGAGAAGAGAAGGAGATTAGAAAGGAAAATAAAAACCCACTGGAACTGAATGAGCAGTGAGGGCTCCAAGTGTCTGCCCTCTGTCTGGCCCACTTCCCCTGGGTACCACACAGAGCAGGGTATCTTGACCGGTTCTTAAACTGCCCTCGACCTTGGAAGATGAAGCACAGAACACTGGCTTCTAGAGCAGGGTCTCTCCACCCCACCCCACACCTCTGACTCACAGTAGCTGATGGTCTCCTGAATAACTCAGTCCCCTGGGTGTAACGGTATTACGGAAGCCAGGATGACTTTAAGGGAAATGAAACAAATAATAAAACAGGCTATGATCGTTATCTCCACAAGTTTTAACAATAACAACGGCCAACATTTAGCCACTGTTCGGTATGCGCCAAGCACCAGAGAGCATTGGACTTGGGTTAACTCGATGAGTTTGGGGGCTGTTATTCCTTCACCAGCCCCCATCTGACAGCGGAGGGGCTGAAACACCGAAGGCTACGTAACATGTCCAAGATCACACAGCTCATAAATGGATAAGATGGAATTAAAGGCAGGCAGCCTAAGACCCCCCCCCCGGAGGACTGTGCATTGGTGGGACTGCTGACACACCCCTCTTAGGGGCCAAGGCCGAGACAGGAGAGTCTGTGGGTTGCAGGCAATTTCCAAAATCACCCCACCCCAGTCAGAATGAGAGCGAGCAAGACTCATAAGCACATTTTTGAATCTGCAGTGATGCTGGAAAACAAGTGACTCATTTGCAAACCCTGGTCCTCTTATTAGTAGGAAGGAGCCAGTTGCTTGTGACATGCCTCGCCCTTGGTCACAGTGCAGCAGCGTGTCTCAGCACACACACGACAGCTGCTACTTCAGAATGGCCTCTTTTTGTCTGATCTTGGCAGCATCGTAAATACCCCTAACCAACCTTCCCCGTCAGGGTGCCTGGCTTGGAGTGTGACAGGTGGCATAGAAGCTGACAAGGAGATCACGGAAATAATGAGCCCAGCTCTCCCCAGGGCCCTCCTCCCTCCTGACAGTCGGTTAGCTTCATCATGTAGCCGGCAGCCTCGGGCCACCAGGAAACCGCTTTTGTCTTGACTATTGAGATGCAGGGGGGGAAGCAAAACCAGGGACATTGACATTTTCCCTTTGCATAGTGTTTCTCTCTCCAGGAACTCCAATAACTTTGTGAGCATTGTTATAGGAACCCTCACTGGCTCCTTGAAGGACAGGCCTGGGTCATTTAATCACCACCGCCCCAGTGGGAAAACGAAGTGACTGGGGCAAGATGACACCGGGGTCACGATGGAGCTCACGGCCCCCGCGTTAGGCCCCTCCTCCCTCCAGCAGAGCTACGTTGCCCCTCCAAGTCCAAGAGCATGGTATGGCATGACGCCCACCTCCATCCCTTCCCCCTGCCGCACTGTCCATGTAATACGCTGCTCCAACCGCTGCCTGGGCCGACGGGAGCCCCCTGGTGACAGGGATGGGCCCAGGGCAGGGGGCTGGGAGAGGGCACCGCCAGACGGTTAAAACCATTTTGCGAAATCTGCTGTCCTAAAAATAACAGACAAGAGATCCTTGGCTTTTAAGACCTGAATTCTGGATAAACACGGAGTTCGCTGTCGGAACAGCCATTCAATAAAGTAAGGGATTATTCTGAAAATCCTGAAATCAAGAGACGACAGAGTGCTGCCGAGCTCCAGGCCAGGCTCACGGGGGGCACCCCGAGCCTCCCGCATGCTCCGTGTGCCCTCTGATCACGCTGCTTGCCACAGCCTCCCGGAGGCCCCTCAAGGCCAGGTTGAAACCCCAAGCAAGAGGAGCCTGGAGCCCCAGGGAAGCACGCGCACTGAGTCCAGGACTGACGCAGGGCGGGCCTGCCTGGGGCTGCTAGGAATTCAGAAGGCAACAAAGGGAAGGGGGTTTCCTGAAGCCTCACTGGTCATTGATAGATTTGCTTCCAAGGTCACAGGGCCTGAGGCTGATACCTGACCATGGGAAAGCCTGCCACTGGCCACGCAGAAGAATTACTTGCTAATAATGACCATTACAAGGGAGTTTCCTGCAAATGCACAGACATAAAAAAAAATTAAAAACCGTTTTTAATGAAAATACCCAGTATTGGCAAGGCATGAGGCACCTTTAAGCTGCTGGTAGGGGTGGAAATTGTCACAGCCTTTCTAAAAGGCAACCTTGTGAATCATACCAAAATCCTTAAAAGCAAGCATACCTTTAACTCAGTAATACCACTCCTAGAAATTTATGCTCAGAAAATATTCATGAATGTGCATAAAGATTTATGTACAAAGATGTGCATCCTAGCATTATTTATTATAGCAAAGATTGAAAGCAACCTGTATCTCCAACAAAAATGAGATGGTTAAATAAATTATGGTACATCCATATGATAGCAAATGATGCAGCCAATAAAATATTAGTAGAAAAAATATGTAATGACATGAGAAAAATGCATAGCATATAATTAAGTGGAAAAAAATCAGATTCCAGAAGAGTGTGTGCAGTGTGACAGTAATTTTGGAAAAGGAAAAAAATATGTCTGTAAAGGCAGAAAGGCTAGACATCAAATTTTAATAGTGGTTATCTCTAGTTGACGGAATTGTGAGTGGTTTTTATTTTTATTTTCTTCCATGCGCTTTTCTATACTTTTTGAAATTTCAACAATGAACTAGGCATATTTAAAAAGACGGGGAGGGGTAAATGCAGATTCGATTCTGGGAGCCATGAAATATTCCCGGGCAAGGGTTGACCCTGAAAGGCTTCCGCCTGGGGGCTGTCCAGGCAGAAACCAGCTACTGCAGAGAAACGAGTATTCTGACCTGCCCTTGGCGAGGGGACTGGGGCATATCTACCTTACTCCTGACTCCCCACCTTCCCAAGGACTCCTCAGCCTGTATCTCTTGCGCCCTGAAACCTGGAGGACCTTCTCCATCCTTGATGACTTCATTGATCACAGCCCCAGAGTTAAGAGAAAAAAAGAGGAAAAAAGGAAGAAAAGCGAAAAATTCTTTGTTTGCATGTGTGTCTGTGAGTTGGTTGTACGCACACAGACTTGGGTTGGGAGCTGTGGAAAATTACTATAGTAACTGGCTGAAGGGAAGGCCCTCGGTACTCAGAGAACTCATTCAAATCTCTTATTAACTCTGAGACAAAACCAGTGGAGGGAAGGGAGGTTAGGAGAGAGCAAGGGAGGGAGAGGAGGAGGCATGGGAGGGTCTGCTGGGCTCCTCGGGGCTCGGCACAGGTTAATCAGGATGCTTGCTTCCCACCGTGAAAAATGGCAGGTTGCACTTAAACGTGCAATTAAAATGGCATTAGAGGAGGCCAGCGTGCCTGGAGAGGCTTGGAGAGCCGTCGGGGCCAGGGAGGAGCCCAGGAGCAGGGTCCACTCGATCTAGGGCTGTTTGCCTAGCCAAGCCACCAGCCCAGGAACCGCCAGCAGTGACTCCAAGGCTGCCCAGCTGTTTGCAAATGCTTGTCCAGCGTGGATCCCCAGGCACCTGACTTCCCTCCTTCTGCCTCTCGGAGCAGCCTCACTTGCAGAGGTCCAGTCTCCATGGACGTGCGCTCTGATTCAGGGGCTGGCACCCTGCCCCTCTGGGTCCCCGGGGTGGGTAGGGGAAACTGGCGATTTGCTCTTAGAGGGCCTTGGACAAAGCTGCTCATCCTGCAGTGTCTCAGTTTCTTCATCTGCCGAGGGGAGATGTTCACCCACCTCATGTGGTCGATGGGAAGATTACACTGAGAAATTACATGGCAGCACTTTGTTGACTGTAGTGTATGAGGATGATACCTGGGGCTGATAGTAAGTAACACACGCAGATGTGACTGCCCTGGTTGTCAACACAGGAGACACTTCTACACTGCTGGGCAGATAGCCTCTGCCCCAAGCCCCCAGTGGCCCACCCCACCACCCTCACCCCTCCGAGGACCACATGGATCACAAAGCCTAGGGTCTGTGGCAGGTCTAGGTCTGGCCCGTGTCTCAGCCAGTGGCTGTCCCACTGCACCTGGAGGGAAATGTTTTTACAATATGGCCATCACCTCGCCTCCTCCTTTCAGCTTTTGGGAACCTTCCATCGAAACTGAAGCACATAGAGGTTTGTCAGGTTTGGAGGTCCAGCCTAGGGCGCCTTCAGCCTCAGCCCGGGGGGACGCCCACAGCAAGAAGGGAGCAGAGTGCCAGGTGGGAGGGAGGGGGAGGGAGAAGGCCGCTCAGCCCCACCAGCGCCCGCCCAGCCCGCGCCCACCTTCAGGAGGATGGTGTGGGACATGGAGGCGTTGGCGTGGATGATGATGGTGGCTGTCTTGTCGTCCCGGATCTCCTTGAGGAGTGGGGTGGGGTCCCTGGTGTCGTCCAGCATCCGGACCGAGAGTGTGTCCTTGGAGATAAGGAATTGCCGGAGCAGCTTCTCTAGGTTTAAAAGGCCTGGAGGGAAGAGAGGACGAAGCCCCTGAGGGTCCACGGAGCTGCCTCGGGAGACGAGGGAGCAAAAGCAAGAGGAGTGGAGACTGGTGGGGAAGCGGGGCTGGGGGCTGGCCCCACTGCTGGTTAAGCAGCCACATCCCATCCTGAGTAGGTTTCTTGACCTCTGCGGGCTCCAGTGATCCCACGTCAAATGAAGAGAATGCTCAGGGCCCCGGGTGAAGCAGAGAATGGGGCTCCCTTGAGCGAGACAAGAAACTCCCCGCTCCTCCTCACAGCCCCGGGGCTGCCCAGCGGCCAAGCCTGGGTTCATAGACCACCAGGCCTGGATTTCTTTCTCTAACTTGGCCACCAGCTCCCTAAATAACCTTCAGTGTGACTGGGTCTCGACCTCAGTGTCTTCATCTAAGAAATGAGAATTCAGGCACACCACAGAGACACTGGAGGTTCGGCTCCAGATCACCGCAATAAAGTGAGCCACGTGAATTTTTTTGGTTTCCCAGCGCATATAAAAGTCGTTTACACTATACTATAGTCTGTTAAGTGTGCGATAACATTATGTCTAAAAAAATGTACACACTTTAATTTAAAAACATTTTCTTGCTAAAAATGCTAACCATCAACTGAGCCCTCGGCAAGTTGTAATCTTTTTGCAACGGTAACATCAAAGATCACCAACCGTTTAATAAATATAATGATAAGGAAAACGTTGGGAACATTGGAAGAATTACCAAAATGTAACCTAGTGACACAAAGTGAGCAAATGCTGTTGGGAAAATGGCGCTGGTAGACCTGCTGGAGGCGGGGTTGCCACAAACCTTCAATCTGTGAAAAAAATGCAGTAAAACGAGGCGTGCTTGTAATATCAGCGGCCAGAGCCCAGGGCTGGGGCGAGGATTAAACGAGGCAGCACATCAAGTGCTGGGGCCGGAGCCTTGCACAGGGTGAGCCCTCAGAAATGCTACATCTAGCTCCAGGAGAGCCTTCATTTCCACGTGGAGGTGGGGGAGCCGTTCCCGCAAGGTCACAAGGCCCGGAAAACAGGTCTAGCAAAAGCCTTTGAACTCCTCAAGGCATCCTGGCTGCACTAAGACTAGGTATTATAATGATGATGAAAGAACAGGCTTTGAACTGCTCTCCAGCAGGCAATCATGTGAGCCCAGAACAAAACAGAAAACTGGGAGTGTGAGCTAAGGACTCCCTCCCTCCTTGCCGCCCCCCTCACCTGCTGCCTCAGGGCAGCGGTGGGCAGAGGGGCTCCAGAAGGATGCCACTTAATCCTGCTTTGTCTCTGACAAGGGAGGCCAGGGGGAGGGAGTGTGCGTGGAAGGGGTCTCCTGGGAAGACAGTGGTCTCAATTCCAATGAGGAGGGACCTACAGGCATCTGCTCCCCAAAGCCAACAGCAAGAGTAACATTTATTGAATTCTCATTGTGTTCCAGGTAATGGGCTAAACATTTTCCGTGACTCATCTCACTGAAGTCCTCACAACAGTCCTTTAAAGTATTATACTCCCGCAGTGCAGAGGAGAGCAGGAGCCAAGGAGAGAAGTGGGTATGGTCTCCACACACCGTGGATGGCGAGGGAAGGGTTGCTTTCTAACCAAAGATCCCCGTGCTCTGGTTTCTAAATCAGTTAAAGGAATATTAAAGCAAGGATGTCGGGAGTACAGCCTTGAGGACTCCTCCCTGTGCAGGTTATGCACCCTCCTGATGTGAGGGGCAGAGTGCGCTCTGAGGAGCACTGGACCACCTCCTCGTTTTGTAGAGAGGTGACAGGATGTGCCCAGAAACACAGCTGGGACCAGAATTCCCATTTCCTCATCTCCATCCAATCCTCTTCCTCTGAGACCAGACTGCCGCTTAGGGCAAAACATAAGAGGCAGCAGGCGCAGATCCCAAGGAGGCCTGGGGACCTGTGTCTCTGGACCCAGGGGGGAAAGCCTACACTTGATGTGCTTTGTTAACAAGGACAAGGTAGCCAGGGGGAGCCCACTGGCATGGCATGATGGAGTCGGAGTGCCTGGAAGGCAGGCCAACCCTTAACCTCCCGTCATGGGTCTGGAGAAGGTGGTCCAGGGAGACAGAGGCTGCAACAGGGATAGGGGAGCCCCTGGAGGGCCTGTTATCCACAAAGAGGTTTCAGAAACATGGGCAGAATGACGAGAGAGGAAGGTCAGGTCTGTTCATCCAGCATCACTGACCTAAGTGCCAGGCACTGGGCCGACAAGACACCCACACAGAAGTGGGGTCACGTACAGACCCTGCCCTCCTGGAGCTTAGGGTCCAGGAACCTGTAGCTAAGTCTATAGCAAAGTTAAAATCAAATCCCTATTTTGTTTCATGGCCTAAGAATCTGGTTTTCTATGGGGCAAATGCATTTTGTGCTCTAAGTCAAATGGAGAGAATATTCACATCTTCCACAGAGATGATGTGAAAAGCGAACTTCCACTTGGACAAAGGTCTGAGCCCCTGACCCAAAGGTCACTATAACCAGGAGGTCGGGGAGGCCACAGGAATGGAGTCTTGGCCATCTCCTTGGCTCACAGAGAGCTCTGCCGGGGCATGGTCTAGGGGACAAGGCCCTGCAGCTGGAGGGATGAGGGAGGGAGGGGAGGCAGAGGTAAACTCCTTGGGGCCTGGGATGCAGCAGGGAGAATCTTGGAGCTTGGCTGGGAGAGAGGCCAAATCCCCTGGGATCCTTCAGATGGGCAATGAAGTTCAGTAGGAGGAATCAGAAGCCTGGGGAGTAGCAGTGTGATTACCCACAGCACGGAGAAGGCTGGCAAAGGCAGCCCAGGGACCCTTCATCCCCTTAAAGCTGGCGGTGCACCGAGCTCCCAGAGAAAAGAGCCCCCAGGTGTCACATAAACTGGGGACCCTGTGCCAATCAATGTCCACGTGCCCCACCCCCCTGCCCTTGAATCCAGGCGGCCCAGCATCACCCCCCATCTCATCCCACTGCTGAAAGGCAGGGGGGCCCAGGGGAGGAGAGGGGAGAAGGGCAGGGCCAGGACCCCTACTCATCGCTCCTTCCCCCCGCCTGCACCGCACCCGAAGCAGCAAAAAGAACACGAGGTCGGACGTGAATCCCAGCTCCTGCACGGGGGCCGCTGGGTCCGCTGGTGCGGGAAAACCCCTCCGCCCCTTTGTGCCTCCGTGCCCTTATCTGTGGAATAAGGACAATAACTACCTTACAGGGGGAGTAAGAGGATGTCAAGTAAGCAGAACTGGGTCTGTCACCCGGGAGGTGCCTCACAAATCTGGTTTCCATCCGCCCCCTCCCCCGCCATTCACATCCTAACCGTCCTTCACCGCCTCACCTCCTCCCAAAAGCCTTCGCCCGCCTCTCCGGCCCCCGCCCGCTTCTCTCTTCTCTCAACTCGTACAGGATTTATTATCCAATCTACAGAGTATAGCCCTTGGTTATAAACCATAGGAAACATTTGATAGCATACACACACGCATATATGCATACATATTACGATATATAAAATACACTCTAATTATTTCAGTGTTGGGTAGGGATCCTGTCGCAAACTTCCCAGCACGTCCCTGGTGTGAGGCAGGGGGCGCAGTGCTTGCTGGTGGACTGAACCAGAGATTCTGGGGGGAAGAGAGAGACTCCACATGCCAGCAGGCCAGGGGAGCAGCAGTGCCAGGTGAGAACAGACACCGTGTCACTGGAGGAGCAGCTGAAGGAAGGGGGTGCCTGTCCTGAGGAAGAAGGGAAGGGCTGTTGCAAGACGAACTTGCTCTTGGCAGCGTCAAGGACTAACCCCAGGAACAGATGAGCGGGTGGAAGTTGCGGGGGGACACATGTAGCTCAACATAAGGAAGAAGCTCTGTTTGCTGTCTAAAGAGGCAGTGGTGTCATGGAGAGAGTGAGCTCCCCATTGCTGGAGGTATTCAAGGCAAGACTGAACTCTCTCTTGAGAACAGCTGCAGAGGGAATTAAACTACAAGAATGTTGACGTCCTTCCTGCCCAGAGTTTCTTTAATTCTATGAATCAGAGGAAGATTCTTTTTTTATTCTAGACAGTGGAAGGCATCTGCAGAAGAGGAAGGGGTGGTTTCGTTACATTAAGAGTATCTGGAGTTTTTCGGTGTCGTTTGGCATTTCCAATTGTCATTCTCCTCGCCTCGATCTGCTTAATGGAACTAAGGGATTTACCAAAGGCAGCTGCCAGCACAGGGGTTAAAAGCTGCTCTCTTCCCGGCTTCCTCCTCCACCTCCACCCCGACCCTCCTCTCCTGTGGAACTCTTGGCCCAGCAGCGGGTCTGCCTGCCAAGTCCAAGGCTGAGAGGGACCTGGGGAACCTATTAGTCTCACTCAGGATGCAATGGGATGGATCGATGCGAAATCCAGCAGGCTGGCTGCTCTGGGAAGAAGGAGGGAGGCTGGCTTCTGGGACTGGGAGGCAGGGGACCAGGAACGGTGGGAGAAGGGAGAGGCCGAGAGAGGCCCAGCTGGGGTGGACAGGGCTCCAGGACAAGGACACCGGCACCTAAGGGATGGGTCTGCAGGGGACACAGAGGAGTCTTGTATCAAAAAATAAGAATAAACACCCATTTCAACAGCATCCCCCCCCTCCACCGGCCGATTCCCTGGGCTGCAGGCTTTGGTTCCGGAAAACGCGAATAGTCCCAGCAGAGGCGGCACTTTAAAGCCTTGTGGGAGGCAGCTGATGTCACAGTGACCTCAGGGGACGGTGGTGGGGACTCAGCGAGACGACGTGAGTTCACCACCGTGCATGATGCCCGAAACCTGGGACGTCTCCACTTCCCTCCCCTTGCCAGGTGCACAGCACTCTGGTGTGCGGTTTTCACACCGTTTCCAGGGAGCAGATTCTGACTGAGAGAGAGGGATGAGGGTCCGAGGTGTTGCCAGAGGGGCAGGGGCACAGAACAAGTTCAAGTGCTTGAACGACGTGCGTGTATCACCTGCTTCTCCGTGTTGCTCCATCCCACACCCGGGCTTGGCCCCAAGAAAAGGTAGAAAG